CCTGTGTGTGGATGGATTCCTTAGACACATTGGGTAGCTTTATACTATTGGCAGTCATGGTCAAACAGAAACACAAACAACTTTCCTTCCCTGCCCCCCCCCCCCCCCGAAATGTTATCATTGTGAAAGTCCTATCTTATTCTGCAGATCAGGTGAGTTCTCTGGTGCACCTCTGTAAAAGAATGAAGGCGAATATTTCTATGCATGAGAAATTTAGAAGCCAATCAAGGGCAGGAGCATAGGCATACCTACTTAATGGCACCACACACGACTGTTTGGTGCAAGGGGTCTTACTTTATAACATACATGCACGTAGTCCTACTTTGGGACTCATTTTTAGACTACTCAATCATACTTTTTAGACTACTCAACCTCAAGTATGTCTGTCTGGAGCTCTGGGACTCAATAGTGTCAGGACTATTAAAGGCTCCAGGATAGGGAACACTGATGTATGCTGGCAGTCGTATGCATGTGTTCTTCAGCTTTCTGCTAAGGAAACTCTGGAGGATTCTGCAGCTATTATATCTGGAATCACAGTATTAGTGGTTCCTGAAACAAACACTTATTTGATGGTCCTCTTGTAATGCCATCAGTTAATGTTGCGAACACCATCAGTATGGATTATTTTCTTATCGTGCTGCATGAAACTGCATTTACCAGAGTAAGATCATTCATCTTTCATGTGTTCCCTGCTCCATCTTTGGTCTGTTGCCCCCACCCCATTTTACTATTAGAAAACTTTCTTTTTGCTGTGAGCCACATAATAAAATTTGAGCTCTTTAATAATCTGGACATTTTAAAAATATGCTACTGCTTGTAAAAATGGGCAACAGTGTTTCCATTTCCTTGCATGTCTGAGTTGGAGATATGGGGTTATTCATGGCACTTCTACAATGAGATCAAATTACTGCACACACTCTCAATAAGGTTCAGAGGCAGCATGTTGAACTGGTGTCTTCTGTTTCTTTGAAGTGTAGCCCAGTACACTTGATGGTGTCCCCAGAGCAGGAGACTGAAAACAGTGGCAGTTTTTAGTCTAAGCCTTTGTGACTAATTTATAGTTCAGTGTGTCCTACAAATGGAGAACATTGGTGAAATTCAGCAAACCAACAAGAGACATGAACAGTGCATATGTAAGGTTGAGATTCAGACTTGAGGGTTGATGGATACTCTGAAAAATATACACATTTGTATTTTTTATTGTAGCTTTTCCCCACCAAGCACACTCCAAATATGATTGGGCTGAATTCCCAGCTACTGTGCTACAGAGCCAAGTTGGGGAAGGCTGATTTTAATGCACTTGTGCCCAAGCTACATAGGGCATATCAATAAAATTCAGGTAAACATGTCATTATGATAGAGGATCTACAGTAAGTCTGCCAATTCCTTACAAGTAAGGGTACTTAGCTTATGAGAAGCAGTCTTCCTCTGAGTTCAACAGCAATTATGGTATTCATTTATGCTTCCTCTTTAAATGGGGAGAAGAGCAGAGAGGGAAGAATTAACCCTCCTGCTCCAGTTCTCAGATACAAATTCTTCCCCTCTAAATGCAGCATAGCTATTTATAAGTGAAAATATGCTTACCACGCAACACTGCATTTGCCGATTTAACATAAAATCCCATGGCTTTTTAAATGAAGGTTATACCAAGTTAAATGTGTAGAGCAGGGATGGCTAACATGTGCCTCCAGATGGTGCTGAATTCCACTTCCCATCAAGCCCAGCCAGCATGGCCAATTTGGAGGGATTATAATCGTTATAGACCAATAGCATCTGGAGGATCAGAGGTTACATCCACTTCTGAAGTGCAGGATTGTACTATTATGGAACAAATCACTGATTTCCTTAGCAAAACCAATATTGCCCTTTTGTGTGTCTTCCAAGTTATAACAGGGACAGAGATCTTACACCCATGTATCTGGCTATAACTGCTTTTGAACTGAGACTTTTGAGTCATCATACAATGGTGCGTACTGTTGGTTCAAACACTGCTGAAAACATTGACATTCACTTAAAAAAATACTTCAGGATGAAAGATGATGAATCTGAGACAAGCAGCCCTAAATTAAGCTAAAGCAGAGTAGCCAAGGTAGTGCGTACTGTTGGTTCAAACACTGCTGAAAACATTGACATTCACTTAAAAAAATACTTCAGGATGAAAGATGATGAATCTGAGACAAGCAGCCCTAAATTAAGCTAAAGCAGAGTAGCCAAGGTAGGATATCTCATTCACTGATACTTTTTCATGGTCCAATAGGAGTAATTGACCAAACAGCAACTAAGTAGCCTTCAACCACTCGGGAATCCCAGATTATCAGAAAAGAGGCGTGCCTTTGTGCAATTTCTGAGCCTTGGCCCTAGCTTCACTGAGCTAGGGGTAGAGACCAACTTAGCTATGACTAAACAAACAAACAAAAACAAAAATGGGGAGAGGAAGGGGTGGGTTTCACTTCAGAACACAAGAGTCATAATGAATCAAAACTATCTAGGCCAGCACTCGGTTCCATCATTCCCAAATTATGTGCTATTGGGAAGCCCACAGGTAGCAAGCAGAAAGGCAAAAACCCAGATTTGCTGTTCTTCTTTGGCAAGTAACGTTGAGGTACTTGCTGCTTTCTAATCTTGGAAATAGTTTATAGACATCCTAACTATTAGCTGCTGTCAGTGTTTTCTTTTTCATGTCTTTATCTCGCCCCCTCTTAAAGCTGTCTAATTCACTATGTCTGGGGTTAGCAAATTCCATAAACTATCCATATTGAATCTCCTATCACTCAGCAGACACTTACACTCTGTCTTACAAGTTGTAATTAGTGACTGAAAAGAATCTTAGAATTTCACACATCCTGATTTATAGTCAAGTTTCCCAATAGTAACTCTCATTCCTTTCAAAGGTATCCTTGTTTAACATTATAATCTTAGGTGAAAGTTTAATTTACAAGGTTTTTGTTTGTAATTTTCTCTAATTTAGGATGCTTTTGTGCCCCTGCCCTAAAGGATTGGTTTATGCAAATCAGGGTTTCTTCTGAGCTCTAGAGAGCGCATTCCTCATTCGGGTCAGTATTTCCAACCAGAGTGAAGATGGAGGGTTCACTTTTTAAAATGATTGTCTAGAGGAAGAGCAATTCTGATTCTTGGACTGGTCTTGCCTTACTGAGTAGAACTAGACATTGTGGAGATCTATGATCCAAAACTATGTCTTCCCTTTGTAACTATATGATTCCTTTTTCCTTAAAGGTAAAGAAGCCTTGAGTTGCAAGGTTCTTCAGAACATAGTAGTGTTAAATTATCCTGGAAGTCCTCTTTTTGTTTCATTGGTGCTAGTATTTACTGAGACAAAGAATGTCCTTGGTGAAGCTCAGGAGAAAGGGAGACTTTGGCTTGCTGTGAATTTCTCTTCTATATAATAGAGAACATTCCAGCTATCTTTTGTTCCAGCATTAGCACAATTCAGTATATTTTCTGCTATGTTTTACACATGAGAAGGCAGTAAGAACATTCTGATTTTTTTTCTTTCTGATTGCATGTTTAAGTCTCTTTTATTAAGCTCACAGTTCTCTTTTCCTCAGTGGCAATACTTCTTCAGTTCTTCAATTCTGCTATACATGGAAATGGCTGAAGAGCATGGAAGTCAGGATAGTTCCTTCATTGGGGAGAAGTGAACTTGCCTGCTTACCCCAGCAGGAGATGTCATCCTGAGCTGAGGTCTGCTCTCTATTAAACTTGGAAGCGAAATCCACAGTAAGCCAAATTTCTATTTTCTTTTTGTTTCATTTACTATTGTAGAACAGGCAAACACTTAGCAGGGAAAACCTGTTCAGCCTGCAGTTTAGTACTATGCAGTGTGTTTTCTCCATTTATAACATCTATAAGTTAGGAACATTTCACCTGCTTATTAGTTACAAGATTATCTAGGGGAGGAACAATTCTGACTCTTGAACTGATCTTGCATAAGAATCCTGTGAGGAAAAGAAGGTGGTGATTTTCTGCAAATCACCTGTGAACTCTCCCTCCTACTTATTTTTTAGTAGCATTACTCATCTCTCAGGAATTTTCAGACTGCTCCATTGTAAATCCTACAATACAGCTTAAGAGACAAAGTGCACATGGTGTTAGGCCCAGGAACTAGCAGAATGTACTGTGAGAAGCAATCATCTAATGTAGAATGAAGAACCCGTGTCTCTTCAGCTTCTAGCATCCCTCACCTGGTACTTCCTGGGATTGCAGAACATCTTTAGTGGGGGAAGGGGGTGCAAGGTCCTGACCATGATCTAACTGGTTAATGTTCTAATGCAGTTTAACTTGAGGAAGCATTGTATTATAGTGGTGGCTTTGAAGCAAAACCAAATCATTCCCATGCACAGGTCTAACAGAAAGCAATTCTGATAAGCATACATTGTTTTAGTTACCTTCTTAGAGATTTTCCAAATTTGGGCATGTGACATCATGCCAGCTGGCAACTGGCAGCCTCAGACATGCTGGTGCAAAAAGGTTAATGTGTTATTTAAGGACAGAGAGCTCACCTCTGCCTGCCATTTCACTCCAGCTTCCATTGTCAACTTAATGCTACCCTAGACGTGATTAGGGAACAGTAATGTGTTTAAATCTGGATCTGCTGCAATCAAATACAAATAATCCCACTATTAGAGAAAAAGAATATATGGTTGACATGAGCTAAACCTTTCACCTTTCCTTAAGTTGTCTGATGATCCAATCATACACTGTGGGAGGGAGGTGGTCCTTCTCACCAACCTTTTCCCATAACTGGTTTATATGAAATTGTGACAGACAGATTTTTATACACATAGCTCCACCCACTGGGACTAAAAATCTCTTTTCCTCTTCTGCCATATTGCAACCTGTTGTCAAACCAGGAATGGGGAAGTTTCCACCTTATCTGATTCAAAGTAATGCAAAATTGGAACATAGCATTCTTCCACTTGTCAAGCACGCAATTAATCAAATACAGGCCTAGAGAAACAGAGACAAGGGAGGCTTGTCACTTCAACCAAATTAGCACAGCAAGTCTTTCTTAGAGGCAACGGATTTGGACAAAAGCAATAACTGCAGCAGAAGCAATACTCTGTATCATTCAGGAAGGCCTTTGGTTCTACAGCTGGCAATACACTGAGATTTGCAGTGATATTGAATGTGGATCAGAAGGTGCTCAGCATTCCATATGTCTTCCCCCCTTCACTAATGGTTTATAGAAAGGATCACAGCTATTATGGACATTGCACTGTTCAAATCAAAATAGTCCTTTCTTTCTTTTTGCTGCCATGAGAAGATTGCTCAAGCTAGAGAAATGATTCTTTTGACCAAAGCAATTTTTTAAAAAAGCAAAATAGTGGGGAGGGGGGGAAGAGAATATGGAACAACTGAGGCTTAAGATAATTTACCAGAAGACACAGAAAGAGCCAGGCAATGGCAGTCTGTCAACCTGGAACAGAACAGAGGTAACATATAGAACATGCTGCTAAGCAGCTGGCGTATAGGATAGAAGTAACACTATCTCTTCAGAAGACCTCTATTTGTTCTGTATCCACCATCCTAACAGCATGGCCAGAGATGTCAAGACTTGAAAAGGCCCATCATCCATCTGCCTGACTGGTTCTGGTCCAAGTTACAACACCAGGTCTTTGCCCCAAACTGTCTTATAGCAGGATTGCTATAGAAGCTCAGGGCAATTTAGTCTTTGGATTGTGATGCTTCCTTTCAGCATTCTGAAGATTCAACACTTCTGTCCATCTGTCTTTGGTCTGGCAGGATGGAATCAATGATAGTGAGTTTGGGTGTCCAGCACAGGCCCGGTTCTGTATTTGCCTTCTGTGCTTTCCAGTTCTGTTTCAAAACTTGGCAGGCCACTCTCCTCTATATTCTCTGCTTGCTCCAGGCGGCTGCCCATCGTGCCATAAGACTGATGAGCTGGGGAAGCTGCTGGTGTAAGACTTAGTTCTGGCTCTTGAAGCACAGTGGCCATAAACATCTGCAATGCAAAAGCAAGGAGGTTAGATTCTGGGGCACTCCTTTAATACAGACTCCCCCACCTTTCCAGGTTTGGCAACCATATGGAAGCAATATTGCTTGTGGCTTGTGAAGCATCTCTGGAACATGAAAAACTTCTGGGACACATTCCTTGACAGGAATCTGTATAAAAGCACCCATACATTGTCATCAAGTGTGTGAACTTTTGACAAATGATGAATATACTTACATTTGAATTGGGTGTGGAAGAGATGCTACTTGTTTCTGTATCATTAAAAGCTCCATCAGACTGCTCCGACATCTGCTTGCAGATGGAGAAGAACGTAAGTAGGATGAAAGACAGAAAACCAAGGATGATTGCCCTGTCTGGAATTCCCCCCCAAATCTAAACAATCTTAGATGTAAAATTAAATTTGACAGTGTTCAAATAATGAAATTCAGTCCCAGAATGCTTAATCCAACATATGCGCACGCACACACAGTTTCTGATCCATTTGGGAACCATGAAGATGCAAGAAAAGCACATAACTGAACGTTGACTAGTTCACTTAGTACATCAAAAACTGCTTCTCAGAACAGAAACAGTAGGAGTTCTGGAACTGTAGGTCCTTTGCTGTACTCTTTAAAGATTTTATCATCAATGTGTTATTTGGCTTATTCAGTGCATACATCTGCTAGCACTGGGTTTCTAACTTTTTAGGGAAAGATGGGGCATTCATCCCAGAAATACATTAGAAGACAAAGGAGAAAAAAAGGCGGGGGAGGGAAGGGAAATGGTTGTAATATTTCACATAATAGTTAGCTGTGTGTTATTACATCCAGAAACCAAAATTAGAACCACGTGTCCATGCTTTGCCTCTCTAGTGGCAACTGGTCATAAACAAATTGTAAGAAACAGCCCAAAAGATCCAATGTCATGTCAGCTGATTTCCACTTGTGCAATCAAAGTTTCCCTTGCTTTTCTCCTCCTTCAGGCCTCACTAAATTGGCTCAAGAGTCCCTCAATGCCTGGAGTAGATTTGGGGACTGTGTGGAGGAAAAAAGCCTGATCCACGAAGATGTCCCATTGGATACAATCCGAGAAATGAGTACATTGTTACCTGATAGCTGGAAGG